CCTAATATACCCACTATATACCCTATACATACCCTTCAGGGACCCTAGAATCCCCTACCTGAGAGTTTAATGAAGTTGTGTAAGAGCATTATGTGGGGGTTTCCGAAAATAGGGGACCCTAATATAGTACCCTAAATAATAGGATCCCTATTATAAGGACCCCAAAATAAAGTACCCTAATTTTCTGAAACTCCCATGTGGTGAACCCAGCATCGGATGTTACGAGGGCTACGAGATGCAAAACGCCACAGACCCTGCATCTCCCGCACGTCAAGCATCCTCCCTAAACTCGAATCCTAAGCAACTCCTTCTGTTGGCCACAGGTATGGATTGGCCAAGTTAAAGATCTGATCCCTCGCTTGACAGAGGAGACGCCTTAATCGCCTTCGGGTTGGTCTCTTCAGGGTTCCGACAGGCTTGGCAAGTTAGAACCGTGACGAAACCGCCCACTGGCAGCTGCTCGTCTGCAGCTTAGGCACGACGACTTCTGCTGCTGCTACTGACGATACCCGTCCTGTACAAACTAGAGACACTACATGACCGCCGCTGGTAATTACCGGCCGACTGGCCCTGCCGCTCCTGACTGAACTGACAGTTTCCTCCTGGTGCGACTGCTTCGCGCAGCAGGAGGAACAGGAGGAAAGAACAACGACCAGAGAATGGGTTCAGTTCAATGACTGCTAAGTCAACCTGAATCCTAGTGGTGCAGCCGCAAAGTGATATCAACAGAAGCAAGATAGAACTGCGATGGCATCTCGAAAGCTGACGCCGAAATAACTACCCTTGCCGACAGCACTGAAAAGAGACAGCGACCTTTCAACACCAGAGTCTACAAGGGACCCAGCATGGTGGGGCTTCAAGTCCAGGCCCATCTCTTAATGAAGGGGCCTTACTAAATACTTCTACGTTCTATTTTGTTGATTCCCTATTTTAGAGCTATGGTATAATATACCCCCCAACAGCCTTATTCTAATTCTTCAGGCCCCTTCATTACCCCTCCTATCCGGTTGAAGTTCTTGGTAGCTCCAGAGCCAAAATCGTGAATCTGCTGATTCCCGGCCTAAACCCTGAACCCTACGCCTTAAACTCTAAACCCTAACCCTGAACCCTAAACTCTGAGGAGGACAAGAACCCGCAAAACTCTGAACCTGAACCCTAAACTCTAAACCCCAACTCCCTAAACCCCAAACAGGAGCAAAGGGGCCATTGCACTTTTAACAAAAAACAGGACCCTAAACCCTAAACCCTAAACCCTAAAACAAAAAAAACAGGAGCACGGGGACATGAGCTTGAACATGGTCTTCATGGACCAGAGGGGCACCACCTTCCACGACGACCTTTCGCAACTGGAGGACTGCTGGGAGAAGCGGGGGCCTAGGGGTTTGTATGGGTGGTTGTCAAAATTTAGGGTCCCTTTTTTGGGGGTCCGTAATAGAATACGGCACCTAATATTTAGGGTACCCAACAAGGGACCCTAATTTTGACAACCAGCCATAATATGGGTAGTTCTCTACATTAGGGTCCCTTTTTAGGTCCGCTATGGTACGGCACCCTTGTAAAAAAGGACCCTACAAGGGACCCTAATTTAGAGAACTACTCTTTTAGAGTTCAGGGGCTTCAACCCTATCCCTCATGTGTCCGATGACGGCAGGCAAGCTGCTTCTGCCGCAAGAGCTTGAGAGTTTCAGAAAATGGGGGGATCTCGATAAAGGCCCTGTACAAAACGGTCAAAGTAAAAACCTAAACCTTAAACCCTAAACCCTAAACCCTAAACCCTCCCAGCATATACTGAGACGCCAGAAGGTTTGGTCAATCAGCTTCCATGGCCTGGTTTCGAGTGGCATATTTCAGAGGCCTGGATAACTGGAAATAAAGACCCTACAAGGGGCCTTCATCATTTCAGCAGGGTTTCTGGGTCTATTCTTATAACTGTATTCAGAAACCCGACGGAATGACTGTAGACGACTTAGGCCCATTTATGACGCTGGCCTCCTGTGATCGTTTGGAAGAGCGTGGCGTAGCCTGCGCCTTGGTTAATGTGGCACCAATGATCCGGAAAGCGAGGTGTAGATGATCCCGAAGGGGAATCCGCAAGTAGAAGCCGCCAAGTGCAGCAAGATGAGCTCTGATTCCTTTCTTTCCGTCCCTTGTCGCCGAGACCCTGGCCTTCACCAGAAAGCCCTTAGCTGATAGTAGTGGCAGCATCCAGGAGCTCAACCTCATGTTCCCCAACTGCCGACCGCTGCCTGCAATCAGATAGGTAGGACAAAAAGGGTGGATGTAATGAATGAAGCGAGCCTCAGCAGCCATCAGCAATGCTATCAAGTGTTGATGTTTATGGCCGTGTGAGGCAGTGCCTGTCTACCACAGGATATCTTAGCACGTTTGTTTTCGCTTGTCACGGCGGCGTGACAGTTTTTGCTATATTATGGATGATACTCTTCTTGTTGTTAGATGTCGAGCCGATCCCAATTCGAGCGAATACATGTGCATCCGCTTCTCTGATTGTCGTGCCGATTCTTACGAGTATGGTTTGCTTCATGATGCTTGCACGGCTATGTTGTAAGTAAGCAGCCCCTTACGGCTTCTTGGCCTGTCGACATCTCCAGCTTTGAGCTCAAGCCTCACCCCTCTGCAATCCAGGGTTGAACCAAGTGCTCCCAAACTGTTCGCATTCATCCACCTTACACCCTAAACCCTAAATCCCTAAACCCTAAACCCTAAATCCCTAAAGCTCGCTTGGCTCCTCTTCAGTGCAACACGCGCCCAAGCGGCCTCCCAAGGTATCGTGGCAGACAACTGCGTGAAGCCAGGGTCGCCCGTGTACTGCTGGCACACCACAGCCACCTGGCAGCTGATGGGGTTCAGGGTTTAGGGCTTAGAGTTTAGGGTTTTGGGGTTTAGGGTTTAGGGTTTTTGGGTTTAGGGTTTAGGGCTTTGGGGTTTAGGGTTTAGGGTTTTGGGGTTTAAGGTTTAGGGTTTAGGGTTTAGGTTAAGCACGAGACCCCACTAAGCCTACTACTGCCCAACCATGTTTCAACAGCCCTTCTTGCAAAGGAAGGCGTGCTTCGCACTACTACTTCTTAGTGACCCCGATCATCAGAGCAGGGCCGTCTTGTTCATGCAGACTTCTACATGAGATAATGTGCCTATGCAGCCTGCGATCGCTGCTAGCTGCTTCTCAGGGTGATGTACTGAGGCGCTTCAACATCGAGGGTTGTTTTTTATCCCTCAACCCTAAACCCTAAACCCTAAACCCTAAACCCTGAACCCTAAACCGTATTATCTAGGGGCGACATGCCAAGGTCAGCGAGCGATACAAGACCACGAACTACAGCCTCAACGAGTTCCTGGAGTCCACGATTGAGGATTGGCAGGCCAGGGGTCCGATAATATCAGGTCATGGTATTAGGGTTTAGGGTTTAGGGTTTAGGGTATAATGGTATAATGAAATATAAGATAATAAAATATCTCTAGGAGTCTTTAGGTGGGTTTTTTCGGCGCTGATGGAAGGAACATGAAAGAATCCTCAAAAAACAAACAAAATCAAAGTCCCAGAAAGAGCGGACATGCCCCAACGATTCCCTGCAGCTCTGCCGGCCCGCGAACCCAAAATCTCGAACTCTCAAAGCCTGAGCCTGAAACCTTATAACATTAACAAAGAGGCCTGAACAATTAGAATAGGGTTTGGGGTATACTATACTATGAATATGATAAGGAGCCCCAAAACCCTATTCTAATGATAAAGGCCCTTGTATTACATGAAACCCTGAACTCAACTCTTCTTCTTGCAGCAGAGGTGGTCTGCGACTACCTCGGGCCCCTCGCGGGCCGCCAGCAGGCCGAGCGCGAAGCCCTCGCGCGCCAAGGCGACTGCCATGCAGGGCTCAGTTTACCGGGTACCTATGATGTTCTGTTATATTCAATTATATTATCTTATATTTCATTATATCTTATTACATGACCTCATATTATGTATTATGTTGCATTAAATTTTGTGGATTAGATGTTTAGGTATACATACATACATACATACATACATGCATGCATGCATGCATGCATACATACATACATACAAACATACATGCACACACACACACACACACACACATCTCACTCTCATACAGTGTCAATGGAAGCTGGAGGTCCTGATGCTTGTTGGACAGGAAAGGAGGCTTTTCATGTATACTGCTGTGGAGGGCCGGGGCGTGCTTTTGTTTGTTTCCGCCTGGGCGCGCGCTGCCTTTCTGAAGGTGATGCGCACGCCTAGGAAGGGATCGAAGAGGATGGTGACCATGAAGATGGTAATGATGTTCTGAAAATTGTAGGGGTCTCCTTATCGTCCCGGTATAGAGCAGTAGAATGCGAATCCTAAACCGTGCTTTCCTGCATTTCAGATTCGGAGCAGTCACTTTATGGATGCTGCTGGCAATTCGCCTGGAGTCGTCGGATTGTAGGCGGTTCCGATGTGTGCAAAAGCTTTCCCTATCGTGCAATCAACAATGCTAGGCAGCAAGAGCTAGGATCGAAAGAAGACTCGCGTTGTGATGTAGATGTAGCTTCCAAAGCTCTTTTCCACGGAAGCCATTCAAACGAGAACTCCGATGAGGGACGGGAAACCCCGGAGCTCGAATGGGGGGGGGGGATGTTGAGTTCCGACAGGCGAGGGCGACTGGCGAGCCTACCCAATCCGAGACCTCGCTTGACTGCGGATGTCCTAGCACAGGACCAACTTCGGGGTTCGGGTCTCTTCGAAGGTCGAGGTGATGGTGATGAAGATGGGTGTGGTCAGGGCAGATGTGAAAGCCTTTAGGACGCGGCGCTGGGGCCAAAGTCAGCCCTGCACACGCTGCGACAAAACAGCGGCATGCGGCCTTCATTTCGGTTGAGGCTTGCCCAGAGGCCTTCGGCCAACCCCCGAAACCGGTGGGCTTCCTTGGGTAAGCTATGGACGAAGACTAACGCCAACTTAGAGCAACGGGGAAGTGTGATCTTCGCGCGACGTGGTGCATGTGATGCATGCTTGGAGAAGTGAGCGTGTATTGCATCATGATATGTTCCATTTTGGTGTGTTATTTTCAACTTATGTCACTTAGAGTTACATTACATGATAATTTCAGTTACATTATGTTATAGATCCAGAGGCCGGCCGGACATCTTGGTGCTCATCTTCTTGCTGCCAGTAAGGCGCTTTAGACTGTTCCATGCAAGGGAGGTGTGAGTAACATAGGGGCCTTCTAGTTACCTATACTCTTTTGGAGGTTCCTGATTATACTTATAGCATTATTAATGCGCCAACATTAACAGCTACTTCACGCCCAACATCAGGAGTCCAGGAGGTAGCACCACGCACGGGAACTTATGTGCAAGGCATGCAGGAGCAGAGTGGGTCCAGCACATAAGCTGCAAATGGCGTGAGCTATGTCCATAACTATGTCAGTATTGAGATGCTAGGTTCCGCAGTTTGATCGGCATACAGATTTACCAACGATATCGGTGACAAGCCTGTCCAAGTGCATGCAGCGAATTCCACCTGTGGGAGGGTTTGTGACGCATTGACATTAAGTTGCATGCTTCGTCCGCTTGCTGCTCGAACGCATCCAGCCTGAGCCCAGCATGGGCAGTTGATCCCACATGCTCCGCCCGAAACAAAATCAATCGGTATGAGATGGCCAAACCTATTCACATGGAGCTGAGACATCCGCTTGTGGAAAGGGCGGATCAAGACCAGACAGCGGGTTCTAGCAAAGCCGGGCTCATGAAAACAGCGTAAATCCGACTCCCAGACCCTCATCCCCAGCCAGGACCCCGAAGCCCCCTTAAAGGTTTAGAACCCCAAAGCCTTCGACCCGAGACTCCCAGCCTTTATCCCTACCTGGACCCTGAAGAGCCCACCTTTTTAGGGATCCTTATTATGATTTCTTTATATAAGTCCTTAAAAGGGTAGGTTATTTGGGGTTAAGGTAGTCCCTGAAAGCCTCAAGGGCCCCCAAAGCGAGCGCCTCAAAGGGCCCCTGGGGAGAGCCATGGGCGTGAGTAGCAGTGGCTGCAGCTTCTGCCAAGCTTTCACGGCCCCTCAGACCGAGGCGCCGGCTCTGTGTGGCGAGGTCTTCTGAGATTTCAGGGGAGGCTGTGGAGTTTGGGTTTAGGGTTTAGGGTTTGGGGTTGTGGAGTTTGGGGGGTGGTTAGGATGGGGTGCAGGGTTGCAAGTAATCTCAGAGCAGGTTCACAGTCAGGGATGTGGAGCCACGAACTCTGAGCCTTTTCGTTCACCGCTCCTCGATCCCCTAACCCCAAGCCGACAGCCACTAAGCCCTACACCCTATAACGAGAGCCCCACGGCTGGACCCTAAACCGTTTAAACCCTCAGCCCTAAATCCTAAATGAATCCTACACCCTAAACCGTTTAAACCCTCAGCCCT